TTTATATATAAAAATATAATTGCTATATGTAAAATGTTTATATGTAGAAAGCACGTACAGTAGAACCCCGTTAAGACGATTATGCCTAATACTGAATCACACTTAATACGCCAGAAATGCCGAATTAAGGGAAATTTTCACTTGAAAACATATTGCTATCTTTATTTCCAAGATAAAACCGTTGTCACTACTGCTTGACAACGGAATGCTCGAAGTGGGTATCGAACCTGGGACCTCTGACCAAGTTACGTGGCTCTTAACCGCTTACTCTTGACAGTTTTTAGTACCATTTTAATTGAAAAGGGTTGTCATAACATTGAACCCCTAAATTTACATCAAATCAATATTTTCTCTTCACCTGGTTTCGTCCCTGTGCCTCGCACGACCGCACATATTTTGCGAGCAGACTTTTGACTCGAGCACGTCTCATAAAATATGAGTTATCTTAGCGAATGTCACGTGGAGTCGTGCAAGTGCCCCGAGCGACGAGCGTTTAGCAGGTACCAAATAGAATATCAAAATGTGCTAACGTGGCGCCACGCCATGTGACACATAAACAAAACACGACATTTGACTTGTGGACTTCTACCACTGTCATAAATACTATGGATATTAATAAAACTTATGAGGGAGGTAGAGAGAAACAAAACAGATCTGCAAGTCAGATTAATGATGTAATTTGGAATTAGACTTTTTTCCATTCACCATATATCTTGCAAAATGTCCTTAGTGGATATCTAGTTGTTTTGTGTCATTTTTTTATTAATAACAATTAGAGCATAACCTACATTCTGCAAGTTAGCTAGATTTACAATGTTAGAATATAATTATAGATAGTAGTTACCCCAATAGGTAATTACTATTAGAAACAAATGAAAAATAACAAAGTTTTCTGTTAAGGATAGGGGTTGGTTAGACTCTTTCAAAATAGCTTATTGAATTTGACTTAATAGCTATTCCGATGATTTTGTACAATTGAGTATATTAAGGATATACTAGATGTTATCTGCTTGGAAGGCGGCCCAAGATCGGATGGTGGCTTGAAATCCGGAATTCTCAGATCGCTGTAGGAATTGGATGCTGGGGAAGGAATTGATTCCAAAAGTACAAGAAAGAAACACTGGCTGCATTTAATAAAGTATTTTTTTACACAAATAACATCTAATACTCGAAAAATTCAACAAAACTCGTACGGAAAAAACAAGTGAAGAACGTGCATGACCAGCGACAGACCTCAAAAACGCTCATGACTAGCGTTTATATGCAAATCTTCTAATTTCGGAATTGCCAGAGATTTAGTGTTATCCGATTCTGTAAAAAGTAGTTTGCTCGTCCCATTTTCTGTCGTTCTGGCGCAAACATACTGGATCAAATTAAAAGGCCAGGATTTTTTAAGTTTTCTAAATTCTGGTGAAAGCAACAGCAAAGCAATACACTATTTAAATAATTGGGCAATTTTCTAATTTATGTCGATGATTTGTGGATCTGAGATCTAGTAATGCCAATAAAAATCATATGAAGTTCAATCGGGTCGAGTTCAATCAATGCTATTAAAAAAATAGTTGTTTTTATCACGATTCTATAGTCCTAGCAATATAAGATATTAGACTATTCATGAAGAAAATTAACAATCGTTTTTGGTCCTATTAAACAATCGTTTCTGGTGTAAAATCATTGTTTAAGTACCTAATTTTTGTATTAAAATATCTATGAATTCTATCTATTAAATGAAATATTTATATAAATTCTATTTTGGTGATTAGTAACTAAACAAAATGCAATGATTTCAATGTATTCTAATAAATTTGTATAAATATTGTCAAAATTAATGTTTTTCTTTTCAATTTTAAAGACTACTTTTACGAAAAAGAACTAATTTAAATTCTATTATATGAATATCCTTACAATATAATATAAAATTTGTCATTTACATATATGTCATATATATGTAAATGCCAAATATATATTATATTATATATGCAATATATAAATATGTAACATTGTGTACGGGGGCAAACAGATATAATTACTTATAATTTGGAAAACACAAAATTATTTAAGAGCTTTGATAAGCTTTTGATTAGAATTTCTAATATAATAGATTTAATATTTAAGAAGTAGAAAAAACAGAATATACTTTAGTAAGCAGAATAAATAGATCTTATTTCAAAGTGAGATAATTCATGAGCATAGTATGTATAATTTTGTTTATGATAAAAATTATTGCTTTCATTTTTATTGCTATTAATAAAACGACATATCTCAGACAAGATCATCTTCTCTCAATATTTACATAATGACATCATGTTACAAAAAAATATTTATATAAATATTTCGCTAATAAACATATATTAATAAGCATACGATCATCATCGCAATCTATATAGGAATGAAATATGTGAGAGGAAAGCGGATGCATATATCAACGTTTGCTTTTAAAACAGACATATCCATATCTGATATCCCTATATAAAACTATATAGGCAAAACGACGGATGTCTAAATATACCTGTTTTTTGTTCACTTTGCCCTTACGACCACGGAGTCCGAATTAAAATTTAACACCCGAACCTCACGGTACCGAACCGAAATTAATAATAAATGTCATATAATAATTATTACGGGGCCAACAATCTTATTGTTTGTCGTTCTTGCTTTATCTTCGAGTCGAACCTCTTTAGTGAATGAACAGTGGTGGCAAAGATTTCGGACCAAAGAATATATCGGATACAAACAAGTGAAAATAATGAGTTTATATGCACATTATTTACTATTATTTATAAATAATGATAATAGTTAACACCCACAGTAAATGCACTATATGTATATATATTTATTAACTTCCCGAAGAAGAAGTTTATGTTTTCATGAAAAAATCCTATTCGCTAATTTTGTTTTCTCGACGTTTCAAGCCATTCTGAATCGAATGAGACCAAATTTGGAAAAAGTATGTGTGTGTGCGTGTGAGTGTGTGTATAAAGATTTTCAAATGTTTTAACAAAGATCCGTTACATTTCAATTTTGTACAAAAAGTATACTGCATAAAGAATATTATTAAACCTAAATAAATATTAAATTTTAAGATGAGTGACTACAAAATTCAAATAAATTCTGAGTGCTTAATATTTGTAAACAATATAATTATTAATAATTGAATACGTGTTTCAAGGGTTACTGATCGTACTTTATAAAAATTAATATACTTGAATTCTAATATATAAAATTGAATTGAAATATTGAGTATATGTAATATGGAATAGTTTGAAAGGAAATAATATACTTAGAAAAATATATTATCAATATAATACTATAAAAAGTATAGGATAAGAATAAAAGATGTTGTAAGTGCTAAGTGCTTTGATTATAAGAACTGTTCTAAGTGGCTGATTGTGAAGCCAATAAAATTAAGTAAAAAAATGTTATAATTTTATTTTTTAAATGTTTTTCATATTTTTTTAAATTTTAATACAACAATTTTACATTTTTTCGGATAAATAAATAAATTAATTAATTAATTAATAAATTTTAAAACATAGTTAATGTGTAACGTTAACATTTAAATTTGGAGTAAAAAATTGCCGCAGCTGAAGTAGCTGCAATTGAAATAAAAAATCCTGAATTTATCTCTGTAAGAGGTAAAATCTACATTCATTAGTATTTTCACATTTTCAAGTTGTACATTATAATGTTTCGTCCAGTTTTCCGCTATTATTATTAATTTATATACGTATGAAGTTTAAATTTCTCTGAATACAATAGAAATTTTCTGAACTATAAGCTTCCAAATTTTTTTTCCATATAATATATTTATATAATATTTTATTTATAAATATAAATATAGATCTCTCATAATCAAAACTTTGGATTACTGCCGTAATAAACACACTAACAAACAAATCGTACATATTTCCCAAAAAATATAATTGAAAATGCAACTTGAAATATAAAAAATTGCATTGTGTTAAAATTATTTAGTTAAAAAATATTTTTCTTCAATCATTCGGAATTCCCAAAGCAGAGTACAGTCCATATATTTATATACATTTTTATTTGGATCTTTGTTATATTATATATAATATACTTTTGCTATTATTTCTTTGAATATATTTATTGCTAAAGAATAACGAAAATATTTTTTCCATTTAGAATAACTTAGTTTAATATTGATAATTTAAAATTCTATAAGTCCTTACTGTTTAACTTATCCTTAAAAATTTAGTTAACTTTTCAGACTAAGGTTTTGCTTGACGGTATAAGACTAAATTTAATTGATTCTTCATTTTCGTACGGTCAGCAGCTGTAAATAAATTTATATGAAATACAGGTAAAATTGTAATGTAATATTTATAATATGTCACGAAGAAATATGTTATAATTTCACTGGTATAGGGTCCACTACTGGGTAGACTTATAAAAAATTCTACCTCAATAGAAATTCTAAAAAATCTAGTAATCTGAGTTAATTTTTTTTTAACTTTTCCGTTGTATATACCATAACCGCATCATTTGCTATTTTGAGTGATATTTTTTTTTTTTTTTGGATTACTAGGGGGTTAACAATCGTGGGCATTGTCAGGTGCCAATTTTTGAGATGCCCCACTTCAATTATTGATAACTCTCTTTTTTACTTTATTTACGTACTCTTGAAATATTTGATAATTGAATTATAAAAAAATAATAGTGAACAAATGTATTGCCTTTTTTACATGATTTATAAAATGACTTAAAATTCATGTCTCTGCACTAAGATACCACCTAAATGTCTTTATAAGACAACTTGTAATTTATATAGTAAACATAAAATGTTGTAGACTGAATATTAGGTATTATGCTAAAATTAAATTAAGACATAATTTAGTACATTAATAAAAGGTGAAACACTGGGTTTTCCTTTTAAAATTCTATGTTATTTGTCAAATTAATTACTCAATGTCTTACTATACAGACAGATTGCAATTTATAAGGAAATAAAATAGATATTACAATATGGACCCTTACCTGTTCGAGGGTCCACCAGCAATGTCCCAGGCTGCGTTGGCGCCTGATCAACGTAAAAAGTGTCAACTGGGCTACTTCCTGACTGAGAGTTATGAGTCTCCTAGCGGCTAGCTCACCCGACAAATCGTAAAATCTGAAAAAATATTGCACGGTTAACGAACGCTCCGGTGCAGACTAATAGCGACACTATTTTTTTCATATATGAAAATATCGTTTGAATAATATCATTGTTTTAAATTTGAATTGATATTGGCTATGGCTATTGATACCGATCGACGTATTGCGTATGTACCTGACGTCTGGGGGACGTTGTGTCGCGACAAGCCCAAGATAAAGGTGTATCAGATTGTGATTTATGTTAAACACGTGTAAAGTGAAGAATCGCTAGGGACATGCATCGAGTCAATTTTAATTAGGAATTAAATAATAGTTTTGGTATTGCGCTTTGATGGGAACAGATTTTGATCTTAAATTAGCATATATAATAATTAGGGTAATGAAAACTAATATATTAATACATATACAATAAATTATTGGCTATAAATGAATATTAGTTATTAAGTTAGTGCATTTAATCATTATGTAATTAAATAAATTTATTTAAAATAATGTAATATGCAAATCAATTGAAATAAGATGCTGAATGACTGATTTCAAATCTTTAAATTAAACATATTTGTATAATTAATTGTCACCGCTAATAAAATTATTGTAAATATGTGAATATAGCTATTTTAAACATATATATTCAAATATATATAAACTAGCAAAAATCATGTCATTTTGAGGTTTTTAATTTTTTTTACTCAAAATTTTTCAATAGTCTCACAAAGTCGACGATTTTAAACATTTAAAATTCATAGTTCAACAAAAAGTCTTAGTTCTTGAAAATTTGGGTAAATTTGGTGTCATCGTTTTTAATTGTGCTCTTAGAAATGTTAATCTCAGTTACTGTTCCAAAGTTTAATTGATCGAAATTAGTAAAAATTGACCACAAAAAACAAAAATTGGTCATTAAATCTCACTAAATCTCTAGATTGCACTTAAAAGCTCATAATTTCTAGACAACGTGAGTTAAGGTCACCCAGTTTCGACTTGAGGTCAAGGTCTGGGACACCCTGTATATATATAAATATAAATATATTTATATATATTTTGTCATGTTGAGAATGACTGAGAATGTGCCAACATCTATTTTTCATACCCCTAAGTAGTGAAAGTTGGATAAGATTTATTTTTTATTTTTTAGACCAATACTTTTGTTTAACTTTTTTTCATTCGTAATTAAAAAAAATATATACAACCCTAAATTTTTATCCTCCTATCACAAGGTTTTTCGTAATAGTAATTTTAATGATCGAATAATTTTTCATCACACTTTGAGAATGTTTTTGAAATGTTTTTTACTGAATTTCGGTTAAAAGATAAAAAAAATTGTAATTAAGGGTTGTCCACCCTTCTGTTTTAATTATGTTACTCTACGGCTTGACCGATAATCAGACTTTTATTTTTCATACCCCTAAAGCAGTAAAAATTGGCCGCCCTTAACACAAAAGGCTTTAAATTTTACTTAAAAAAAATTTAATCAAGGGTTTCTTATTCCTAACACTTTTCTCAACATTTTAATATCAGTATTCTTTATTTAATTTTTTTATGCAAAATTGTAAAATACATACAACTTTAAATTTTCTATCTAATATCTATATTTTGTAATAGTCACTTTAGTAATCCTATCATTTTTCATCTAGATCAGTTATGGAGTTATTGATTTTTTTGAGCTCTTGGAAAAGCTTAAATTTATCCTCCAATATAATTATTAAAACAATTCTTATAATTAGATATTGGCGGTGGCAAGATTGCCATCAATAAAACTAGATGCATTGAATTATTAATCGATTTCTGCATAACTCACTGAATCACAAAAATATCATACAAATATTAATATTTGATTATCGAGAATAATATATTAATAAAAATACAATAAAAATTTAGAAGTTGAACATCAAAATCTAAAAAACAAGTGGAATTTTGCCCATGTTATTTCCATAAGAAACTTTGGTTGGAGTGCGGACTATAAAGCTAATATTAAGAACTAAAGCTTTCCGAGATTTTTGTTTATTAATTTGAAAGCATTTGAGCCCCTGGAAGCAAAGAAATTCCAAAATATTCATTTTAAGGACCAGCCTTATATATATATATATATATATATATAATAAATTCATCACATAGATAAGTAGGTATATAAATGAAGATAAAATGACAAATCACACAGTATATTTTTAAATGCCATTTTACTATGCACGGAGCACATAGCGCAATGTCACTAACGCTTATTACCTACAATTCAGTATTTTTTATTACTCCAAAAGTATTATTCTATACTTGATCATAAGACAACGTGAACAGAACTATAAGTTATCTGTTGAGATAAGAAAACGGGTAAAATGTTAATTTATAGCATTACTTAAGCGATCCTCCTCGGCGTTGGAGACATCAACGGGGACGCTGGCGTCAATTCGCCCAGACTGATGAACTGATAGACAAACTCCGTCTTTGCAAAATGCGTATAAGTTCGGGCAGTACACGTAATTTTTTCATAATTTTTGGTGACTGGCACCTAGCGAGGGTCTTATTTATGGTACAGTTTTTATCACAAAACATGCATTGCCTAAGATTTCCAGCGACACAACGACAAAAAAAACATTTAACGAAAATACGAAAAATCATGAGAAACTGAAATATATCCGCTAACACGTTTTCATGTATTTACATTTTTAGCATTTTATCACTTGCAATCGGTTGTCGTTCGAGATTTATTTTATACATACACAAGTCAATGTTATGGAAATAATGTATGGAGAGTTATTTCTGCGTTCGCGTTTGAAAAAACAAAGTTATAAATTACATCCGATGTTCATTCGGCAATTTTTAACATCCGGAATTGATCACGGATAGATTTTTGGATAGGATCATTGTTAGTTTATTATTATTTCCTGCTGAATTTCGTAAGGATGCTCAATAATGTGATATAATCCAATGATAGAGCTTTGATGAAAATAAAAAGTAACATTATCTATAAATACTCTAGTAAGTTTTATTGTAATTTTTACAGACTTTGTACACTTGTTGTTAATAAATCATGTATTATACTAAAATTATTTATTACCATAAAAAACCTCTACAATGATCTGTAATAGTCAATATAAATTTAGCAAATCTTATTTCAATAAATAAAATCGTGAATTAAAATGAAACAATTTAATTTTTTTTTAATATTTTAAATTTCAAAAAATTTTAATTATAATTGAAACTCTTTTCATAGGATATAATCATATAAAATAATTTTACACCTATGACTTGGCTTGAAATTTCGAAATTCGTTGAAAATTAGAGAATGCCAGAAAATCAGATCTCTCTGCTTTATTTTTTTAAATAAGATAAAATTTCGATCTTATAGGTGAGCAAAAAAAGGTTTTACATAAAATCTAGAAAAATCTGTTCGCGTACTGAGTAACGGTATGTGTAGTTTAGATTTTAGTTTCAAAAAGATTTTAATTAATTTATAATTTTTTATACATATTTTTATTAATTTTAAAAAACATGTTCAACTATCTTAAAGATACAAAAATATAAACCTATATTCAAAATTCTAAATAGTAAATATTTAACGAAAATACATTAGTAAATAAACACTAATAAAAACGTAACTACAATAATGTTAATATAAAATAACATACTAGATAATCAGATTCAAAAATAATCAAGAGCTTAACACATCATTTGAAATAATGCAACGGGTATTTAATTATAAGCATATTTGATATTTTTACCTTATTATTGAGGGCTCTCCCGTGGTTTAGAAGTTAGATCTATTGCATTTCAATCAAGCATCGTTGCCTCGTACTACTGATGTCAAGCAGTATGACATAGGTTTTAACTTGGAAATATAAATAGCATGTTTCCAAGTAAATATAGCATTTTCCGTCATTGCTGCATCAATAATAATTCATCGTGTTACCTAAATTGTAATAATCAAAGTCATCCACATAAAGATGGTACAACTTTTTAGGTTGCCTTCTACAAAACTGTCGTAGTGAGATGACAAATCATCACAATAGTTTCTAGAAATCTTAAATTGGGATCACTGTCCAAATAGTAATAAAAAACTAGTAGTGTAGTATCAAGTAGTATCAAGCCTTAAAATGAATTGCGTATTATTGGAACTTTCCGTACTATTATAAGTAAAATTTCAAATATATAAGTGATCTTTACAATTTTATCTCGAATTAAAATTATATTCCCAATTATATTGATACTCAAAAAAATTTTTTTTGTAAATGAAAAAATAAATGAAAAATATTTTTTTTCAAAAACAATCGTTCTGTTAATACAAGCTAAAAGTTTTTGACATCATTCAAATCGGATGCTTTATTCTCTCAAAAACTGCCAATTTTTGCACATTTTGTTCCGTATTTTCAAAACTGCAAGACTGTCTTTGCCAAAAACTAATCACCACTTTTCTCTATAATTGCGAATTGAAAGTATTTTTTACGATTCAGATCAGATGCTTCGTTCTCTCAAAAACTCGATTTCTATTTTCTGCACTCTATGCTTTGTATCTCCGATACGGTTGGACCTGTCTTTGCCAAAAACGAATCATTACGTCTCCCTATCAGTAGGAATCGAGTGTTTTTTGAATATTTGAAATCGGTTGATCATTGCGCCCAAAATCGTGGACAAAAACTGTATCCACACATAACACACACACATAATTTTTTTTCTAAGGTATGCTAAAATGTTTAGAAACCTCTGAAAAGTGAAGGTATAAAAAAAAATTTATTTTCGAATTTTGGACAATCAGGAAGTTAAAAACGAGGATAATCATGTGTACTCATTGTACTAGAAACGTTGATCATAAATTGATTGAATAGACACGTACACTAATAATGGACATATAAATTATAATCTCTACAGGTGCTGATCTGAATTGTATCTGTCGTATCGGTGTCATAGTTCGACGTTCCATGGGAAATGGAGTACGGACATTGTACGAGGAACGTTATTTATTTAGGTATTTTGAATTTCGTATTTAGTATGTCGCATATATTCATGTTTTGCCAAGGATGACATAAC